CAGTTCTAGTTCAGTTCTAGTTCAGTTCTAGTTCTGTTCTAGTTCTGTTCTAGTTCTGTTCTAGTTCAGTTCTGTGCTAGTTCTCTTCTGTTCTAGTTCTGTTCTAGTTCTGTTCTAGTTCTGTTCTAGTTCTGTTCTAGTTCTGTTCTAGTTCTGTTCTAGTTCTGTTCTAGTTCTGTTCTAGTTCTGTTCTAGTTCTGTTCTAGTTCTGTTCTAGTTCTGTTCTAGTTCTGTTCTAGTTCTGTTCTAGTTCTGTTCTAGTTCTGTTCTAGTTCTGTTCTAGTTCTGTTCTAGTTCTGTTCTAGTTCTGTTCTAGTTCTGTTCTAGTTCTGTTCTAGTTCTGTTCTAGTTCTGTTCTAGTTCTGTTCTAGTTCTGTTCTAGTTCTGTTCTAGTTCTGTTCTAGTTCTGTTCTAGTTCTGTTCTAGTTCTGTTCTAGTTCTGTTCTAGTTCTTTTCTAGTTCAGTTCTAGTTCAGTTCTAGTTCAGTTCTAGTTCAGTTCTAGTTCAGTTCTAGTTCAGTTCTAGTTCAGTTCTAGTTCAGTTCTAGTTCAGTTCTAGTTCTAGTTCAGTTCTAGTTCAGTTCTAGTTCAGTTCTAGTTCAGTTCTAGTTCAGTTCTAATTCTGTTCTAGTTCTGTTCTAGTTCTCTTCTGGTTCTATTTTGGTACTGTTCTAGTTATACCATTTCATTTTGAACTTGTAGTCTCCGGTATTATACAAACTGCCTTTATTATTCTACGATTATTTTAAAGTCTAACGTATTTGTATTAATATTTAACCTTGGCTTAGTTCAATAACACATTAAACAAACTGTTCAATAAGTAGTTTTTAATTAATTTTCTTAAATCATTAAAACACATAAATTAATTGCAACAATTTCATACAATTTTTTTTAATTAAGTTTTCAACTTTGATATTTTGTATTAATTGTAGCTATAACGATGATTTTGATTATTAAATATGTATATTTAAATCAAGAGAACAAATATTTATAATAATATTGCAAACCAGAATCACATTGTAATCATAAGGATATATACTTAAATGTAATTAAAATTTTACAGGGAATAACTGGCTACGACCTTTAAACTGCTGAAATTACCCTAAAGGTATCCTTTTTTAAATATCTGTACTAAAATCCTTATTCACTTTATAATTCTTTCATTTAAATTTGTAATTTCTTAAGAATTTTTTTATTATATTTAGAAAATTTATGGTTTTTACAAATGTAGGTTAATTTAAACTATTTTTATTTTGTAATTTATTTATATACATATGATTTTTATAAAGCAATAACCATACTTTAACTAAAATCCTGCTTTAAACCAACAAAATTAATATTCTTTAAACATATAACATTAAAATCCGTGTTTAAATTCTTTAAATACTTTAAGACATTATAAGCCTACCTTTCAAATTCATAAGCAAAAAACAATAGCAAAAATGGAAAAAAAATCATATACAAACTTGATATGTTGCCAATAATATATACCAGCAGTATGTGTATAATGTGATATTTTAATATTGTTTAAATAACAAACAAAAAATGAAAAAAAAAAAAAAAAAAAAAAACACAAAACAAAATTATCGCAAAACTCATAAATAACACCATAAACGTTCATTACCGTTAAATTACATGAAGAATAACAACGAAATACTAAATCGAACAAATCAAATTAAACTAAAGCAAATGAGACGTTCTTATATGAACAATTTAAGACCAAAACGAATGTATTATACCCTGTTTTAAAAAAGTGTGCCATTAATAGCAACGTCTGTAAAGTTTCCTGCTTTTCAAAGTAAAATGAATTAAAAGTTAAAATCACTTGCATATTTCACCTCGCGATAATAACCTCACTTTCAAATAGCAAGGAAATATTTCGCCTCTCGAAAGTTTCCGTTTACAAAGAAATCTCTCTTGTTATTAGAAACAATCTGATCTACATTATTTCAAAGTTTGGGGAATCGCTTATAATTGGTAATATCAACTTTTTTTCACTTCAATGAGAATTTCGTTCTTTTCGCGAGTTTTAAAAGTCTCTTAGTGTCGCATCAGGAAATCAAGTTATGTAAAATGAAATAAAAAGAAAAAAGTTATAGAAAGTTGTCAACACTATCCCAGAGATCGTTAGATTTCCCTTATAGATTATATTAGTTCCCGAGTTTTAAAAACAAATCTCAGTCCACCTGACAATAAATAGTTCATCAAACTAGTTACTGTCAGGTGGATCATGTTAAATTTATGTCCAACTCGTTACTGAATAGAAACGACACAACAAGTTGTGTTCGCTTTAGTGATCATTATATAAAGAGCTCATACAATCGGATCTGCCTTGGATGAAATTTAAACCGTGTTGATTAGTAACATTTTTTGAAGCGACTAATAGGAGTCCAAGAATTTTCTTACAGACAGAAATCGCTTTCTAAACTAATGATCCCTTTACGACAAGATCGTGCAAAGACGATGACTGCTATGTTTGGAATTAAATCACTTTGATTAACATTGCTTTCAAGAGAAGATTGATTACAAATAACGATATATATATAGTTCAATTAGATTAAACTCCACGCGATGATTTCAAATCGTATATTCTACTAAATTCTTAATCATTACAGAAGTGATTTACTGCGAAGAGCGATTGTTATATGAACTTATTAATTAGATTACTATGAGATCCATGATATGATTTATAATCCGATCCCAATAAGGAAATTCTTAACTTCCCATACGATTTTAATAGTAGATAACATAAGATGTTGATCCACATCATCGCTTGAAGATATCTTATTTGAAAAATGTAAAACTTTGATTTATATTGATCATATTTAATGATTATGATCCGATCTACTTTGTTTAGAATCGAATAACCTTCAAGTAGTCGTTCCACGATCGTTAGAAGGATTTAATTGGAAACAATTTTCGGCGTTTAAATGCTTTCATAGGACACTAGTTTCTATAAACTAGACAGAAACGATTGATTTCGATATTCGTTTGTCATGTAAGCTTATGGTCCAGATCTTCAAGACATAAGATGTCGTTCTACGTTCGTTTGAGGGATGAAATTGGAAACATTTAAGACTTTTTAATGATTGTATGGGGCACTAGTTTCCAATTTCTATAATCCAGTCAGAAACGATTGATTTCAATAGTCGTTTGCTAAGTAAGCTTATGGTCCAGACCTTCAAGGCATATGATGTCGATCCACGATCGTTAGATAGGTGTAATTGGTACCAATTTTGACTTTTAAATGGTTTCTTAGCGCACTAGTTTCCAACTTCTATGAAACAGATAGAAACGATCGTTTTCGATAATCGTTTGTTAAGTGAGCTTATGGTCCAGACCTTCAAGACATAAAATGTCGTTCAATGATCGTTAGAGGGATGTAATTGGAACCAATTTTGACCTTTATATGGTCTCATAGGACACTAGTTTCCAATTTCTATAAAACAGACAGAAACAACCGTTTTCGATAATCGTTTGTTAAGTGAGCGTATGGTCCGGATCTTTAAGCTATAAGATGTCGTTCTATAATCGCTTGAGGGATGTAATTGGAACTAATTTTGACTTTTAAATGGTCTCTTAGGACACTAGTTTCCAATTTCTATAAACCAGACAGAAACGATTGTTTTCGATAATCGTTTGTTAAGTGAGCTTATGGTCCGGATCTTCAAGCTATAAGATGTCGTTCTACGATCGTTAGAGGGATGTAATTGGAATTAATTTTGACTTTTAAATGATCTCTTAGGACACTAGTTTCCAACTTCTATAAAACAGATAGAAACGATCATTTTCGATAATCGTTTGTTAAGTAAGCTTATGGTCCAGACTTTCAACACATAAGATGTCGTTCTACGATCGTTTGAGGGATGTAATTGCAACCAATTTTGTCTTTTAAATGATTACATAGGACACACCAAACGATTGGTGTCGATAATCTATTGGTTAGTAAGCTTATGATCCCGGTTGCTTTGTTCAGATACGAATAATCTTCATCAAAAGATCTTCCCGAGACAGGTGCAGCGATTTTAAAACAGATCACGATCGTTTGGGGGATATAATTTGAAACACTTTTGACTTTATTTCGAAAAGGCAGATATAAACGATTGATTTCGATAATTGCTTGTTAAGAAAGCCATAGGCTCCCAAACTCAGAGCTCTGATCAGAGAAATTATACAAAACATCCATATTATGAATCGGATAAAGAAAGATGACGTTGTTCAATGGTATAATAAACTCTTAGTTGAAACCTGACGATCATATTAAAAGATCGTTACTTTAATGGCAAACAAAATTTACCAACTTCTTGATATATTTACTATACGTAAAGTAGGGTATTCCTTATAAGTTTCTATAGCAAACAAATTATAACAATTTAAAAGAAAGAAATTATAGTTAAAATTTAGAAAAAAAGAAATAATTTATAGAAAACAAATTACCCAGAAAACATTTAAATTTACACGCATTTTAAAAACAAAATGAACTTTCAGTTACAATAAACAAAATACCCGCACATAACAACAAATCATTATTATATTTACTAAAAAAAAGATTGTTGATTATTACAAATCATAATAAAATTTATGCATAAAATATAAAAAGAAAAAAACGCATGAATGAAGGAGGAGTATATTTAAAAAAAAAAACACACACACACCACATTCCTTTAACGAAGTATTTCAACTGCATGTTTTTGATAAAATTGTTTGATCCATAATAATGTCTATAGAGTCCAACTAACATAAGAACAGGCCTTTTTCTTTCTTAACGAACAAGCATTTATAGAGTTAAACTTGTAAATGTTTGCTTGTCATTCAGACACCAAATGATAAGTTTTGATTGGATTTTTTTCAATATTTTTTTTTTTTTTTTTTTTGTTGCTTTAATGTTGTATGTGTTTAGAATTCTTAATGAGTCTTTGGTGGCATAGAGTTTTATGTGTTGCTTTTGCTGTTGTAAGAATATTTAATCAAAGAAATTGAAAGGTGTCAAACATTACTCACCTTTTGTTTGGTCCAGTTTTTGTTTTGTAACCACTTTATTAACAGATGTTGATACACTACTGCTCTATAACCGTTTTAAAAGTGTTGTAAATGAACTTTTTAAGTTTTTGATGAGTGTTTTACAGGAATATAAGCTGAAAGTAGTGAAAAATAGAGTTTAAATATTATTAAACTAGCAATTAATATGAAAATTAATTCAATATTTATCTAAAACACTTTCAATTATTTGTTAAACAAAAGATTTTCCCACAAAATATTTCACACAACATTGCAAACAAAAAAAGAAACTAATAAAGAAATCTATTTGTTTTTGCCCCCCTTAAGAAACTAAAGACATCACTTTATAACACAAGTACTCAATTAACCACCTGTTGACATGCCAACTCTTTTCTTCTACACTTCTATTTTTTTACTATATAAACCTCAGTTAAAGGAAGATTTCAAACTAGAGAGAAAAAAGTTAAAAACCAGCACCACAACAACAACATCATTATAATAAAATCACAACCGAAAAGGAAAAAAATAGTAGAAAAAATTGCTGGCAACAAAAAAAACACTTAACTCTAAACAATTTAAACTTCACCCCTCAAGAGTCAAATAAAGCCAAGGAAAACGATAAACAAACCCAAACTAACATAAAAGAAATTCCCTTTATGACAAACGTTTAAAAACAACACTTTTGCTAAAGTAAAGGAAAAGAAAAATGTTGTAGTTGAAAAATATTTTATTTTTTTTTTTTTTTTTTGTTGTGGCAGCAGCAACAGCTCATGCAGCAACATAAAAATATATAAACAACAAAATTTAACACACATCATCACCATCATCTGGTGGATGAGTAAAGTAAATGTAAGAAATAAAAATCTTTTGAACAAATAACTTTTGTGGGAGAAATAAGGGTTATCGTGGGCTTCAATGGACAACTTAAGCAGGGATAATGGAAAGTTTTCGTACAAGGTCCTAATTGTTACCTAAAAATTTAGGGATTAGGAGGCAGTTCTGGAACTAATATACGAACTCCTGCCTTAAATTGTGATCTAGTGATCTAGTATATGAGACCGGAGTTGAAGAGTTCGAAACCAGATACACAGGTAAAGGAGAGCACAACATGCCCCGAGGAGACCAATGTGTATTTCTGCGGATTTAAATCTACCCTTAAAGCTAACTAACTAACTAACTAACTACTAACTAACTAACTAACTAACTAACTAACTAACTAACTACTACTAACTAACTACTAACTACTAACTAACTAACTAACTAACTAACTAACTAACTAACTACTAACTAACTAACTAACTAACTAACTAACTAACTAACTAACTAACTAACTAACTAACTACTAACTAACTAACTAACTAACTAACTACTAACTAACTACTAACTAACTAACTAACTAACTAACTAACTAACTAACTAACTAACTAACTAACTAACTACTAACTAACTAACTAACTAACTAACTAACTAACTAACTAACTAACTAACTAACTAACTAACTAACTAACTAACTAACTAACTAACTAACTAACTAACTAACTAACTAACTAACTAACTAACTAACTAACTAACTAACTAACTAACTAACTAACTAACTAACTAACTAACTAACTAACTAACTAACTAACTAACTAACTACTAACTAACTAACTAACTAACTAACTAACTAACTAACTAACTAACTAACTAACTAACTAACTAACTAACTAACTAACTAACTAACTAACTAACTAACTACTAACTAACTAACTAACTAACTAACTAACTAACTAACTAACTAACTAACTAACTAACTAACTAACTAACTAACTACTAACTAACTAACTAACTAACTAACTAACTAACTAACTAACTAACTAACTAACTAACTAACTAACTAACTAACTAACTAACTAACTAACTAACTAACTAACTAACTAACTAACTAACTAACTAACTAACTAACTAACTAACTAACTAACTAACTAACTAACTAACTACTAACTAACTAACTACTAACTAACTAACTAACTAACTAACTAACTAACTAACTAACTAACTAACTAACTAACTAACTAACTAACTAACTAACTAACTAACTAACTAACTAACTAACTAACTACTAACTAACTAACTAACTAACTAACTAACTACTAACTAACTAACTAACTAACTAACTAACTAACTAACTAACTAACTAACTAACTAACTAACTAACTAACTACTAACTAACTAACTAACTAACTAACTAACTACACTAACTAACTAACTAACTAACTAACTAACTAACTAACTAACTAACTAACTAACTAACTAACTAACTAACTAACTAACTAACTAACTAACTAACTAACTAACTAACTAACTAACTAACTAACTACTAACTAACTAACTAACTACTAACTAACTAACTAACTAACTAACTAACTAACTAACTAACTAACTAACTAACTAACTAACTAACTAACTAACTAACTAACTAACTAACTACTAACTAACTAACTAACTAACTAACTAACTAACTAACTAACTAACTAACTAACTAACTAACTAACTAACTAACTAACTACTAACTAACTAACTAACTAACTAACTAACTAACTACTAACTAACTAACTAACTAACTAACTAACTAACTACTAACTAACTAACTAACTAACTAACTAACTAACTAACTAACTAACTAACTAACTAACTAACTAACTACTAACTAACTAACTAACTAACTAACTAAACTAACTAACTAACTACTAACTAACTAACTAACTAACTAACCAACCACCAACCAACCAACTAACTAACTAACCAACTACTAACCACCAACCAACCAACCAACTAACTAACTAACCAACTAACTAACCAACCAACCAACCACTAACTAACTAACTAACACATCGTTAAGCACACTTTTCAATATCGTAATCTCTCAATAATCTCTTAAAAAAAGACGAGAAACCATGGATAACAGAACAGATCCGGAAGAGTCTTCTAGAGGAGACCTTAAATCCTCTATTTATCCACCTATAAATATAACGGATATCAAAGAGGATCCGATATAGGGAGAAGGATAGGCTAAAAGAGAGACAGTTGACCGAGATACAATTGACAAGGTCAAGGAGATAATCAAGATTATTGCACCATATAAGTTTTCATTATCGGTTGGTATTTTACCGGGACTCTTGTAGATGGAATCAAAATATCCCCATTTAGTCTATGTAACGACGGTCAATATTCTTCTGAAGACCCTTACCTAAGTGGAAACGATTCAAATTACTTGTATAGAAAAGTCGAGAAGACCATGAGAATATCCTTAAGGTAGGCTCAACTGAGAGGTTTTAAGATTCAGCCAGCCGAAGTCTGAAATCTACCCTAATATCATGGGCAAGCGGAACAAACGGACTTAGATCTGCCTGCTACAAAGATATCGCAATACATTTAAGTTGAAAGGATCGAAATTACTTGAGTAGAAAAGTCGACTAGGACCTGAACGCGGCCCGGGCCCAAACGAGAGGGCTGAATGTTATCTCGGCGAAGGCTGAAATCTGCATAATACAGACATTGTTTGTCGGTAATTTAGAGGCATTGATCCCAAATAGAATTTCATAGTCCATGAAGAGATAAGAGCAAATACCCGCAATTATCCGTTAATCCGATGAATGAAAATGCTTAGGCATAGCTTTAAAACTCATGTGAGATAACCTGATACGAATAATGTTATCTTTAAATCCTTTTAAAATATTTGTGCGGCAACTCTTTATTTCTTTTAGACATATAAACACACAACAGTACATACATATATCCCCAAAAATGTAAACAACATATCAAGGTTAAACTCAAACGCATCACAACAGTAAGTCGGAGATGTTTAAGTTTTTTTTTTTTTATTTCTCTACTTTCCCCCTTTCATAAACAAACGTTTATAAATGGTTTTCTTCTCCAACACTGTTAAATAAAATTTAGCAACTTGTTTAGTAAAAATTGTTGATACCAACTTCAAACATCTGTTGCTTTGCTACCATAAAAGCAAAATGTTTCTTCTTTTTACTTGGTTATTTTTTTTTTTATTTTACTACAAAATACTACTAAGGGTTTTATTTTTAGAGATTTCAGTATTTTTTTCTGTGTTGCTTGGTTTGTTATTATTGCTTTCTTTGTAATTTTAAAAAGATATTTTTTTGTTTGAAAATTTTATTTTTGTATGGCCAAGTATTTTTACACACAGTAGTAGTCGAGAAAGAAAATTGTGTTTATATGGGAAAAGAAGTAAAGGAAAGTAACTAAAGTGTGTCTGGCAAGTGTCTAGCATGTAGTATTACTCTTTTTTGTTAAACATTTTACTACTATGAGGTATAAAAATATGTTATAACAGTCAATGAATGGTTGTATGTCTGTCTGCCAGTCTTTAAAAGCTTGTCTGTCCTGCCTGCTGTTCTGTCCGTCTATCCTTGTTAAATGGGTAACATTTTTATGAGATTTGTTGAGTTTTTTTTGTTTTTTTTTTTTTAAGTAACAAAAATAAGCTATAAGGGATTTTATTTAGTAATATTTTTAGTAAACATTTAGCCACAAAGAAATTTTTGCAAATGTGTGTCAAAAATGTTCTCTCTATATTTAGATTATGATGGAATTTTTAGGATATTTCAAACATTTTATTATTAATGCTTTATTAGGAAGGAAACAAATTAAGTGAGAATATTTTGTACATAAAATGGAATGAATCAAACTCTAGCTTACATAAAAACGGAATAACTAGACTAGTCTATAGATTAGTCTAGTCTACAGTCTAGTCTATAGTGTAGTCTATAGTGTAGTCTATAGTGTAGTCTATAGTGTAGTCTATAGTGTAGTCTATAGTCTAGTCTATAGTCTAGTCTATAGTCTAGTCTATAGTCTAGTCTATAGTCTAGTCTATAGTCTAGTCTATAGTCTAGTCTATAGTCTAGTCTATAGTCTAGTCTATAGTGTAGTCTATAGTCTAGTCTAGTCTATAGTCTAGTCTAGTCTAGTCTAGTCTAGTCTAGTCTAGTCTAGTCTATAGTCTAGTCTATAGTCTATAGTCTAGTCTATAGTCTATAGTCTAGTCTATAGTCTAATCTATAGTCTAGTCTATAGTCTAATCTATAATCTAGTCTATAGTCTAGTCTATAGTCTAGTCTAT